TATATATTATGTTACTTTCAGTTGTGTTTGGATTGATAATGGTCAGGGTTTAGAACAATTAGGAATTAGAGCTGCCATAATATCTAGACCTTGTTATAACAGGAGAGGTCCCAGCTTCATCTGTGGGAATCATAGCTTAGTGTTTTCAGATGCTCCTTGGGTGGAAGGACTTTCAGTCAAGTGACAAGAAGGCAGAGAAGTCTAGAAGGAAGATGGAGGTACAGAAGTGGGGCAGGGGTGCCTCCTGGAGAGAGAGCCTCTTGAAAGTCAAGACAGAAAGATGTCTGGTCAGTAACAGACACTGCAATGGAGGCACTAAGTTTAATAACGTTCAATAAATGCAACCGGATTTACATTTCTTACACATGCAAATCAATGTAAGCCTATCCATGGATATCCAGTGCCATTTACAGTTTCCTGTAGAATAATACACACAACTGGGGATAAAAGACAATGTCTTTTTCAAGGTCAGTTCCTGGATGTGCTACAGTGTTTTTCAATTTTTATTTTGTTTAATTTTTAATCAACTTTCTAATGCAAATTTGCTCTGGTTAATCTCTCTTCCTTTATACTTTTTGCTGAATGTGTGGTTATTGTAGGCATTACGGCAGCTTATAACTTGATGGACAGTAAAACCAGCATTTTGCTTCAATTACTTCGAAGTAAAACTTGGTGACACTCACGGGGATCTGTTGGGCTTGTTCTTTGTCCTCTGGCGTAGGGAGAGAAGAAGTGTGGCAGCCATTGATGGCCTTGGCAATGAATCCACGGCCTTGGGCATAACGTTGATCCTGGAAATGAGAAAAACTTCCATTAGTTGAATTGTGGAAATTAAAAACAATTCAATCAATAACCAAAATGTTAATGCATCAGATGGATGTATAATTTTTTAAATTAGCATGCCACTTGAAATTAAATAAGAGAGTTACCTTTTCCTGTACTTGTTTCCCAATCAGTTCGGCAATTTCTTTTTTTTTCCCTTCATCTAAGTGTCTATCCTTGTAACCTGTTCAAGACTTTCTATTGTCTCAAATTTGCTACATTTAGAATATGAGCATTAAGATCCACACTCATTATTTTAGTGTTACCTTCTTTACTATTTCACCCACAGCATGCACATCATCTGCTCTCCTTTGCCTGGGACCAAACTTACACGCGTCCAAATAAAAGAGAAAAGTTATTTAATACATAAATGGTCTCTCTTATTTAGTCATTTAAATAATTTTTCTTCATATTTTAAGAGCATTTCATTTTATCTTTTTGATTTTTAATAACTACATGGTTAGAAGAAGCATTTCACTACAGCTTTAACATTCAGTAACACACTCCAGAGCAAGAGTACATCTCTTTCACAAGTGGCTGTAAGTTTCTAGGTTCACAGTTGAATTAATACAGTTATACAATATTGAACTCAGTATAAGCTCTGTAAGACATAAAATCGAATGAGTTTTTAACCTTTAAAAAGATCTCCATTTCATTTTAGAATATATTGTTCCTTGCAGAAAGACTCATTGTTATTTAATATATGTACTACACAAACTGTTATGTTAAACTAAAATTTAGCAAAATGATGATAACTTAAAAGAATTTCTAAGACCATTTCAAAAATGAAATATGGACAGTCAAGAATTAGAAAAAACTAGTGAGCAGAAGGAACAGCATGAATTCATATTTATTACAAAGGATGAGCCGCTTTGGAAATCCACAGATGTGCTGAATCCCTTCCACTGTGACCTTCACTGACATCCAACAAACGGTGCAAGTTTAAAAGACCCACGTGAATGCAGAGGACTTGTGTCTGGCTCCTACACCTCCTTCCTCCTGTGTTTAGGAATCATGCTCTGGAAATGTTTACACAATGACTCTTAGCACTTGAGAGTGTCCGAACAGCTTTCACGCCTTCATTTTTCCACACTAATGTGAGTCCAGTCTAGATTATTTCTATTCCATCCACACAGTTCACTACAGTGCAATATTCTCTACTGGGCATCTGCAGAACTGTAAGCCAAGAACGCCCATGGCGTCTGGACCCATACACACAGGGAGAGGAAGTAAAGCACTTCCCTGACCACATCTGGGGCTTTGCATCTCATGTTTACATTAAAAAAATGCATTATCAATTGAAAATTTGTTGCAGTTTTGCAGATCTTTAATATTACATGAAACTGCCCATTCTCCATGCTCCACTTTTTATTGGCTGATGATTCTTCTCCTGTGCAGATGCATTATCAGATGTTTGGTTCACTTTTTAACGCATACTGCAACCCTGTCCTTGGAATAAAGAATCCTTTTGGGACAAAATCAGAAGCAACTGAGGTACTTACAAATTCGATGAATATTTCTGAAGAGAGGCTATGGATGTAATGAGACAGCATGACCAGGCGGTCAAACATGTCCTGGAGGGACATCTTGCAGTCCCCACTGGGACAGATGGGCAGCGGGTGCACGTTCTGACAGAACAGCAGGTTTGACACCACTAGCAGCAGCAGTGTCCCTGCTAAACAAACACAGGAGCCAGTGTGAGACGACCTGGGGAGCTGAAGGGAACACTTATCTGTGTCTAGTCCTTCCCACAGCCTGGGTCGGTACGCCCTGGAAGAGCTGGGGTGAGAAACGGGTTGCAAGCAGGAGCACAGGTGACTCAAAAATATCTGTGTCATCAGAAAGGGCTATCACAGCATGGGGACAATGTGGAAACACCACTGCACTGGAGTCCTGCCTTCAGGCAGCTTTCTGGCTCCTTCTTACTTCAACAGAGCCCCCTCACACTAGACCATGTACAACTGGGGTGCAAAAATAATTTCATGTGGAATCCAGGTGAGAGTCCCAGGACCCATCATCCTCAGAGAGTTAACAGTTTCCTTGTCACCACCACAGACCTATGCGTCATTCTTGTTCTGCCTATTTTCTTGCCATGACTAAGGTCTAAAGTTGTGTCATGATCATCATAGCCGTCTCTGCTCTGTGACATGGATGGTCATGCCAGGCGTGCAAAAATAATTTCATGTGGAATCCAGGTGAGAGTCCCAGGACCCATCATCCTCAGAGAGTTAACAGTTTCCTTGTCACCACCACAGACCTATGCGTCATTCTTGTTCTGCCTGTTTTCTTGCCATGACTAAGGTCTAAAGTTGTGTCATGATCATCATAGCCATCTCTGCTCTGTGACATGGATGGTCATGCCAGGTCTGGAGGGAAACAGCCATTTCAACTGCTTTATCCCTCTCCTCAGGCCGTTATGTTCTTTATACTTCTTCAAGGTTCACTGAGCCTTGGATGGGTAATATGCATAAGTGATTATTTTCTGAGCGTGGCTCACCATGTCACATCAGCTGCCACTATTCTCAGCTATTTAGTCAGTTATATGTTTCCACACTTCTCCATTGACTACTTTAAGACTTATTCCTCCACAACTAGCCTGACAGCAGCAGAATTCTATGGAGACAAGCATCAATGTTTAGGAGGCAATTTGGGAAACACTTGCATTAAACGAACAGCAGTAAACTCTGTGATAGAACATATGACTACCTCAACCATGGGTTCTTACCTCATGGACAATATAAAACATGAATATCCCCCTTTGAACAGGCCCTAAACTGATACAGAACGTCGTTTTTGAATCCCTAACAGGCATACCACTATTAAACCGCAGGTACATCTTGCCTACTTTGCTAGTGGTGTTAACACTTAGCTGAGAATAACCATCAGCAACAATTCTCCAAAATGTCCGGCGTATGCACTGTGACACTCTGAAAGCCAGCCAGCTGGAAGGGAGCTCAGTGGAAGCCTGATATATCCATATCCTATAATCAGCAGGATGGTCCTTCCCACTTAGTTTGTGAAACAGTCATGTGAAAAGCCTGTGTGGTGTCAGGGCTCTAGGATCATCACTAGGGTACTCTCTTCCAAATTCTTTAACTGCTGCCTATATTATTTTTTCAGGCTCCTTTCTAAAAATCTAGGACAAGTGGAGATGAGCATTATATAATGCATCGTTTTATGAAAGAAGATGATGTTTAAATGCCAACTGCTTCCTACCTATTGCAGGCCAGTACTTGATTTTGGGATTCAGTGGCTAAGGGAAAATGAAAACATTTATCAAAATCTAGTAGATACTGAAAAGATTTCAATGTTGGTGTGAATTGTTTCCTCAAAAGGTTGGGTGCATCAGTATAGATGGGAGACACTACCGTATTTTACTCTCTATAGAATAAAATTTTTTCCATGATTCCATCAGCTTCCAGCTCCTGGGGACTCCCAAACAGACATGAAGGGGAAGGTCCACATCCATGGCCAGGTGCCTAAGGGGAACAGTGCCCTGCTCCTTCTTCTCATTCTCACAACCACTTCAGGGGCTCCCTGAGGCTAACAGGTTCTGGGCTGGCCTCTGGTCACTGCCTGTCTGTTGATGACACTTGTCTGCTGAAAGTGCCCAAGGCTGCATGAAGCCTCCTCACTCCTCTGGTCTCCCAGGGCTGCATGAAACGGCCTCACTCCTCTGGTCTCCAGGGCTGCGTAATGGCCTCACTCCCCTGGTCTCCCATGGTTGGGTGTCCCCTGGTCTCCGACTACCACAAAGCATGGATGATCTCCGTACACTTCATATTCTCATGCAAAATTCTCCAACCTTGTTTGCTGCCTGCGTCTCAGTAGCACATGCATCACTGTGGTATTTTGATGCACAGAAAAATGCACCTGGAGTGCTCTCTGGGGCAGGAAATACCATCCACTTATAGAACAAGCTCCATCCTTTCCACTGCATCAGTGTCTCCACAGCCATGGCCCTGAGACCTCGGCAGGTGTCATCAGTGAAGACACATTCAGCCCCAGTATTGACAAAGGTCCAAGCATTCGGTGCTGCACTGGGGAACCACCATGAGACTCATGTAATTCAACATGAGACTCTGGCTGCCTAGCCTAAGCGTCACATGCCTGCAACCTCGGGTTAATAAAGAGACCGAGTTGGTTCCCACCCTGGAAGATATTTTCTCCACAATGCAAAGTTGCAATCACAGGCACGTATCTACGCCTTCACTGAATTGTCATGAAGCCTCTTATGAACCCCGGACATCACTGTCAAGTTTTGAACTAGGAACTCTAACTTAATCCAAGCACAAATCTTGGCACATTTGATTGTGAATATGCTATACAGGCCCTTCTTTCTGCCTTTTCTTTAACTCATCCCCTCTGCTTCCTTCTTCACTTTACACACCTGATTTATATGCTGTGTCGATCATTTAGAGCTGAGAAAGTCTACCTAATAAAGATATTGCCACATCATGGGACTCATCAAAGACACTAAAGCCCCGTATCATCCCCAAGGTCTCTCTTGAATTAACTTCTTTCTTAACTCTCCTGTGAACACAGTCCTATTAGGGTTTCAAACAGCAGCAGCCTCCCCCGCTCCCCAGCAAGGTCCTATGGACCTTGGATTTTTCAAGCCTGAAAGAGGGATAAGCACCTTGGCCTTTGAAGTCAAGGGAAGCAGATTCTTCTAAGAGGCAGCCTGCCTTTCCTCTGATCTCCGAAGACAAGATAAGCAGATCCTGCCTGTTAACCAGAAATTTTAGGAGCTGTTTTAGTACAGCAGCTTTTCCCTTATCTTAAGAGGACAAAAAAGTAAACACTTCCTGACCCAGATCCTGGCTGGCAGACAGAACGGAGCCAGGTTTACAAGCCCTGCTTTTCCTGCTTCCCCACCGCCTGATTTGTCCCAAAAAACTTCCCACCTTCAGCACCCTGAAGTCCCCGTATATAAGCCCCAGCTCACAATCCTTGGGTGTACATTTTCCCTTCCCCAAAGGGAACGTGTCCCGTGCAAAATAAAGCTCCATCCTGCTGAGTTCCGTCTGTGTCCTGGTGCCTCAGCCTCCATTCGCTCGTTCTCCACCAACTTTTTACTTATCAAGTCCTATTTATCAAAATGAACTGGGCATCAGGCCCCACCTGTTGCCGTGCCCAAGCTTCTCAGTAATACCTGTCTTTCCTGTTATCCTCAGGCTCTGACAGTCATGGGGAGTTCAACTGCCAATAACCAAGTGTCCCTAGTGACACATATGAGCCAGTCTACCAGACTGATTTCCCTCAAATTGCCTCAGATCACGCAGTGCGTGTCTCAAGGAAGTCGGACTGGTAATATTAGGGTCTTCTCTCCCAAGGTACTCGGAAGATCTAATCTGTCCTTGTGTCCCAGAGCCTCACAAGCCAGACTGTAACAGGGTCATTTCTTAGTCTTCGGAAAATCAAACAGCTTAAGGCAAAGTACTTCCTGGTCATCACTGTTTCCTGTATTGGGTCATTAATCATGTCTGCATGCAGAATCTGTGTTATTCCTTCCTCTGTGCTAAAGATTAGACCAGGGGACATCTTTTATGAGTTCTATCTCATTCTTTATCTCTGCAGACCATTCCCATGGGTTTTAAGTGGTTTTAGATTCCAGGAGCTCTTTAATGCAGATCTGGTTTCCACTTTTCCCTCTCAGCCCCTGGCTGTAAGAAGCAGCAAGCGGGTCCTTCTGTCTAATCTTCTTTTATCCAATTAACCACTGTATCCGTTGCTGGCATGGAAAGAGTATTTGCAAGTCCATTTTCTGTTGTAATGCCTCCCTTACATAGTCAAGGTCTTCCTGGGAAAAGAGCTCAGTGTCTCCCCATCCCTCAGCCGACAGGCTGCAACCTCTTCTTCACTTGTAGAATTGCTGTGTTTAACATGCAGGATGAAAAGCCAAAGTTCTCATCCTGAGAAGAGCTAGCAAAGGCTTCCGTGCTACACCTACCCAAGGTACACATGGAAGGACAAAATTCTGCCATCTGGAGCAGGTGGGGATCTCCCATCCGCACAAAAAGAAAATTCTGGGATTCTTTTACTTTTTAAGTGGGGGGTTCAATATTATGTTTTCCTTAATCTGAATTTATAAAACACTCTATGACACAATGAATCCCCCTAGAGCTGAGCTCAGCCATGCCCCCGTGAATGGCTAATTACCCTGCATTGCAGGTACATTTGCACACATCTTAAGCTTTCTCTTACATCTTGTATAGATTTTAAGATGGCCGCAGCACACTAGGCAGCCAATTAAGCTGTTTTCTAGTCCCAGTTTGACCAAGTTGTAAATTATTACATTTTCCTTTACTAGTCTCTGCTTCTTAAATTATTTCAAAATAGGGAGAAATAAGGTGATGAATTCACGGTCCTGCATGGCCGTGACTACACCAGAGAGAAAACGCCTGCCCTGGGAACCTCCCAGGATACTCCCCTTCATGCCTCATTACTCGTGGCAGGGACCAGAAAGCTGCTTCTCCTAAACTCATCTTGGCTTCTGTCTTGTCCCATGTTTGGGTGCCAATTTGTTTTGTGACTTCTTGGGGAAATACAGACAAGCATCTGCTCACTGCAGATGAGGCACAAAAGAAATAACCCCATCAAAAAGCATCTTGCTAAACAAAGGAATTAACTGGGCTTATCTACAGGGCTAGATAAGGGGGTTACAAGAGTTGTCCACTCCATGACAGAGCTGTATCTCTGACAACAGCATAGGTGGTGACTCATGTAAACTGCTTCCTTGGAATCCTGACTTCACTAGGCATCCTAGCTCCTATACACTATAGCTCCTTCTACCCAAAGACTGCAGCAGCTGATAGGCAGGTCAGAATGATGCCGGTATCCCAGGTGAGGTTCCATGATCTTCCTCCTTCTCCTGCAGAATATCCGCAGCCCTATGACCATCAACCTAAACTTAGCTGTCACTGCATTTCCCACATTTTCTAGCCACAGTTAGAGACCAAATTATTCTGTAGTTCATCAGGGCTATCTCTTATTCATATTTGAGATAGTCAAGTCATGCCCGGAAGAAAGCATTTATTTCCCAACACTCTATAAATCTACAACTTCTATCAATCAAAATCTCACACTAAGCACTCCAACCCACTCTCAGAGTACTGACAAAGTCAAGGACTTGCTGAGCTGTTGCACATACCTTTCTGTGCTGAGCCCTGGCTGTTCATGACAGAGATCATTTCAGGAACAGGCTTCACCAGAGAAGGCCTAGGAGACCCACAGCTTTCTCGTTTGCAGATATTGGCTTTATAAACCTTTGACATCTTCATGAATATATTTAATCAAGCATCCTCTCCTCCCTCCCAGTCATCTATTTCCGTCATTGCGATTACCCCCATAATTTCAAACATCAAATGGTATTTTATTTCTTATTCATATTCAGGAAGACATATTGGCCAGAAATGAAGGATTTTGATTAATTAGAGCAAAAGGAAATGAGAGAAATGATAAAGGTGAGACCTTGAGTCTAGTTGGCATTAGAGAATCTGTAAAACTATACAGAAGGTGTTTCCTTTTTAAAAATTTATTCCTAGTTCTCTACAACATATATCATGACTTTTTGCTTAGGAAGTGGTTTAAAGAACTGATGATTATAAACTTTCACATTCAAGATTATTAAGTAAATTGAAAGTTTCAAAATGTATGCACTAAATACCGGGGGTATGGGATAAAGGTTGACAGGACAGGGGGTATGTGATGACAGTTGAAACAGGGGGTACGGGATGAAGGTTGACAGGACAGGGTTTCTGTTCCCAATTATGCTCTGAATTTCTCAAAACATTCCTTGCTTTTCCGCAATCTCTTTTGCTTTTTAAAATATGACAAATCCGTATGGCACTTGTGTTTGCAGCTTGTAGTTTTATATATATTTCTTTTGATTTAATGTATTAAGTTATATTTACACATTAAGAAACAGGGGCTTGCAGAGACTCAGTTTAAAGGATATAGAAATAAGTTTTCTATAGTCAAGTTAGATGTGAGAAGGATTGTTTCTTGAGAAGGAATGGGGAGATGTGCAGGAAGGGACCTGTCATTTCATGCATATACATGTGTGTTTATATCTAAGATGAACCAGAATTACTTCAGGCCCTACAGAGTTTATGTAAAGAATGAGTCTAGTTCGGGGGCAAAATACACATGTGCATACACATGTCCACACAGATGCAGGTACACAGTGTAAGGAGCTGCAGTTCCAGCCAATTAACTCCACTCTCCCAGAGGACAGTGATGGATAAACTGTTATTAATTTATGATCGATCTGCCTCCTCTGACCCTGAGCCACGCTGGGGCAGGGTGACAAAATCCCATCTTCCGTGTACTCAGAAGGTCCATTCGCGTTTCAGAGGTTTCCTAAATGAAATGCTTATGATGACTAGGAATGAACCTGTTAAAGATGTTCTCTAATTGCCGTGTCAATGCATCTAAAGCAGCCTGTGACCTTCGACTTGGCCTCACTGTTCCCGATGGTGGACTAAGTGATGAAGCAGTTTTTAAAGCGTATCTTTCTATGGTGCTTATCTTTCTTTTTAAAACATTTATTTTATTATCTGTACATGTGTCTGTCTCTGTGTGTGTCTATGTGAACATGATTGCAGGTGCTCAGGAAGTCCAGAAAAGTGTTTTGAATGCCTTGGAGCTGAAGTAGCAGGTGTTTTGAGCCTCCTGAATGGGTGCTGGGGACCAACCTCAGAGCCTTGGAGAAGGCATTATGTGTGTGTGCTCTTAACTTCGTGCCATCTCTCCAGCCAGTGTTGGCCCTTTCCATATCTGTACGCTCCACATACACGTGCCTTAGCGCTTATGTGAGCCTCTGCTCATGTGGAAACCTAGAACTCTTACAACGGACTACCATCCTGAGATGCTGTCTCACTAATGCATTAGCTGTCTCCCTGATTGCCTTAGTATAACCAATGCTAGATTTCGAATCAAGAGCACCAAGTGTGGCAGGGCAGCTCATAGATCCAGTGATCTAAAAGTGAGGTCAGGGGTCTCTACACTCACGCCTGGTAGCCATTTCTCCTTTTACACAAAGTAAGTGTGAATTACTACAAACGTAGAGATATACACGAGAGAAATTGATTCTGCCCAACACTTCGCCGTTCTCAGAAACTTTAGAATAAGAAAATTTGCTATAAAAATTGACACTGACAGCTTTATCTTAAAATTTAAAGGCGTTGTAGCTTTTGAAGATAAGCAGGAGAAGAGAAAACCCAAGCTGTGCTCACTGTGTGGGGGCCAAATGATTTATTGGCCTGCAAAGAATCACATGCTTCTCTGTAAGATTGTGTATTTTCCTGCCACTTCACAGCCACACATTTCCTGTGAATGGGGATCTTTTAACCTACCTCAATACTGCAGAAGTCATATTCTATGTGAAAATTCACAGTTGTCCTATTTTGTGACTAATATATGTCACCAGTGATCCCTTCATGTTTTTTGTGTTCTTTTGCAGATATTTTGTCAAACTGTTTCCTTAAATTAGAGGAGTAAAGTTCACTAAGAAGAGCTTCGTGTGTACTTTGAGTTATGAAACTTTATTTGTTAGAAATTTGGGGGTCTGATGGCTCATGATTAAACTGGGCTGACAACTGATCAAAAAACTGGCTAAGTGGCTCACGAGGGACTGAAATTCTCAGCTTATTTATAGTGCACAAAACTAGTAAACAATTTCACTATTTCTACTAAAGAGCTCTAACAGAGCATTAAGTGACATTAAATTGGTTTCACTCCTAGTTATAAATATCACTTGTATTCATGTTTATTATCTTTATTGATTTTATAGTTTTAGATAATTTTCATTTTTTCTCTCACTTATGATACAGTACAGTTATAAAGCATCACATCATTTGAAAAAGGTCAACTTTTCAAGTAGACTATAAGGGGAATCTGAAGAAGTAAAAGAAATTGAAACTTAAAAAGCCTCAGAATAAGTGTATCACCTATATATTTTAATATATATTTGTAGCAAATTGTCAAAGAACACTAATTTGCCAATTATTAAAGGTTAATGCTTTGTAAATTTAGAATTTCTACACAGTCATCTTTCAAAGCTTGAATTGAATGATCAGATAGAATTAATGTCATTTTCAGTATAACAGGTTAGTAAATGTAAAGGAAACATTAGAGACAGGGCAAACGCTGCTTTCCCGAATGGGCGTCTTTCTAAGGTCGTCAAAATACAAAGGTTAACTGCGCCCCACTATCTAGATCAGCTTCATGAATATCAAGATATTTAATCCTAATCACTCACCTCTAAGACTTTCCTTGTTAGAGTTGAGAGATGCACTAATATTCTCTCTGTTCCCTGTTCCACTATGTCCTGAGTGCTTTTGGTGCAGAGGTTCCACTGTAGATATGTCACTTGGAGCTGGGCATCACACAGACACTTATTATCTGGCTTTGACTAGTCATGTACTCTGTAACAGTCTCTATCTGCTGTGAAAATTTTTTGAGTTTCATTGAAGCGTGGTGAGAGGTATACTTGTCTGTAAATATAAAGATGCATATTTAGCATACAGTAAGAAATTACATTTGTCTTGGGATAGGTTTGTCTAGGTTTTTCTCCAGGATCTATAACCTCTCCAGCCATATGTATTTGGCTATGTTTACAGTACCACACATGAGTTCTTTTCTTTGGAGAGGATATTAAATCCATTTAGATGCTTTTGAATTAATACAATTCCCTCTAGTATGCCAAACCAACTAAGCGTTATTTATTCCTCCTCTCTTTACCCCCTCCTCCATCCCTAGTTGAAGAACCCGTTTTCCCTATTTCCCTCTTGATAACAGTTGTCTCCTACTATCCCTGTCTCTCCAGCTCCTTCTCTCCCTTGACTTCCATGGTTCCTTTCCATTTTCCTGGCTCCTGTTATTCCATCAGGATATATACTCACATCTAATGATTTAGGGCTAAGATCCACAAATGAGAGGAAGTATACATTGCTTGTTTTTTGAGTCTATTATACCTCCCTTAGGGTGGCAGTTTCTACTTCCATCCACTTATTTGCAAATTTCATGATTTTTTTTACAGCTGAGTAGAATTCGGTTGTAGGAATGAACCACATTTTCATTATTTATTCATCAGTAGAGGGGCATTTAGGCTGTTTCCATTTTGTAGATATCGTGAGAAAAGCAGCAGCAAACATTACTGCACAAGTTTCTCTTCAGTAGGATGAGTCCTTTGGGTATATGGCAAGGAGTTTTATAACAGGATCATATGGTAGACATATATATTTTTAATTTTTAGGAATTTGCTGCATTCATTTCCACAGTGGTTGGACCAGTAAGCGATACCACCAGCAGTGAACAAGGTCTTCCCTTTTCCTGAATCTTTACCAGCATTTGGTGTCATTTTATCTGATGATTTTAGTCACTCTGTCAGGGTGAAGATGAAATCCTATTTTCATTTGCATTTCTCTAATTCCTGCAAAAAACTGCTGTTCAGAATCACAGCCCACCTTTTAATTTTGTCATTTATTTTCCTGATTGGGTTTTCTTTTTGTTTTGTTGTGTTTGTGTATTCTAGATATTAATCCTCTACCAGATGAGCTGGGGAAGAATTTCTCCCACTCTTGGGCTTCCTCTTCATTTGAGTCATTGTTTCCTTTGCTGACTTTTAGTTAACGTGGTCCCACTTGTCAACTGTCCTTAGTTCCTGACCAACTGATGGCTAGTTTGGAAAGCCCTTTCTTGCACCTCTATTTTGTACGGCACTGCCTGTGTTTTCTAAGTTTCAGAGCCTCATATTTCACAGTGAAGCATTTGATACACTCGGAGTTGACTTTTGTACAGACTGAAAGATGAGGATCTAGTTTCATTCTTCTACAGGTGGAGATGCAGTTTTCCCGGCAGCATTTGTTGACAGTGCTGTCTTTCCTCCATTGTGTGTTCCCGGCATGTCTGTCAAATATCAGGTGGCTGAAATTACATCCACTCACATTTGGGTTTCCAATTATGCTCCATGCCAGTACCATGCTGTTTTTATTATTAGAGCTCTGCAATAATCTGAGATCTGGTATGGTAATCCCTCCAGTGTTGCTCTTTGTGGTTAGGTTTGTTTTGGAGTATCCAGGGTCTTTTGTGATTCCATATGAATTTTAGAATGGATTTTTCTAATTTTGTGAAGAATGCCATGGGGATTTTGATTGGGCTTGCACTGAATCTATAGACGCTTTTGGTAGGATGGTCATCCTCACAGTGTCCATTC